AAAAAAACAAGGTTAGAATACATATTCCCAAAAAAATCTAAGTCAAAACCCTAATCCGGATCAATCAAAAATTAAAAAAAGCTGAACAAAACATAAATTATAATCATCACTACCACAACATTACCTGAAAGGTGGGTGACTTTAGTGCGATTAATCGGATGCACCGAGTGGGTGGCTTGTCAAACGAACTTTACGGACCCAATTGAGTAAGCCGACGCGACCAACTTCGTACTGCCCCTACAGCCCCGTACGGTGCAAATTCGTTGAGATCGTCTTGCCGTTTACCTCATCTTCTCGATCGATTTATCCTCGCCGGCATCCACATTAATGGCTTCTTTGTCAACCTTAGGGCAAGAGATTTGAAATATACTGACGAAGGCACAATTTCAGCAGATTTTGATCGACAATAGGGAGGGCAGATCTGTCATTTTGAGATTTTGTCATTAGTTGCACAACATGTTAGTAAACATAGGATGGATTAAAAAAGTAGCATCTAGTGGTGGTAAACATAGGATGAGATTTTTAAAATGCTGACTGGATGACAATTAATCTTGTCCCCCCAAATCCATGTCCTCTTTAGTAAACAAGGCCTTATATGTGTAAGAGTAAGAATAAAGTTTTAGATGGTGTGACATATTGGGAATAGAGAAAGGAGGTTTGTGTATTTGTGTTTAGAGATGCTCTAATAATAATACATAAATATTAATGTTATGTAAACCATTTTTTTAATAATTTATTATTAAATTATTTCGCACCCGTGAACGGAAAAATCAAAACCATACCAAATTTTCATATCCATATATAGACCAAGCCAAGGACGAGTCACAAAAAAGATAAAAAAAAATTGGATCCACCTTGAGCCGCTATCTTAGGGCTACAAACGAGTTGGAGTCGAACATTGACCATATCGAATAGGGGTGTTCACAGTTCAGATTGATTCGGTTTTATCCCAAACCATGATCAAACTGGACTTAACGGTTAATTTTTTTTTTTTTGTCCATAACCGGACCGACTTTATTTTTTAACCGGCCACAATCCGGACCGCATTGGACGGTCCGATTTGGCGGTTAACCAGTTAAATCCAAAATATTTGTTTTGGGCCTTCAATTTTTATTTTTTTTTTTATTTTAGGCTTAATTTTTATTTTTCAATTTTGGGATCAAAAGAGATTATTTAGGCCTAAAAATTAAGAAACACAACAACAATGAAATAAAAATTACACAATTCGTCTCATAAGCATAAAAATACATGTTTCGTCCTATAAACATAAATATACAATAATGATGAAGATTAAATTATGCAAATTGAACCCAAACAAGGTGAGAAAAAGTGAAAAGTTATAGTGTCTTACAAAATTAAGTCAACAAAATGTCAAAAAATGAAAATAAATGTATTGTATTTGTCGGCCATAATGAATGATTGAATGTGTGTATATATATAGGGATTGGATCCAATGAGTACACATATTTAAAGTGTGAATGTGAGACTCATTCCTATCCATTAGATTGGTACATTATGTGTGGCTAAGATTAACTCTTCAATTAAATAATAATTCTTTATTTTTATTACTTATTTCTTTATTTTATTATTTTAATTATTTAAATATTATTTTGACAATTGACCATTGACTCGGCGTTGACCGTTGACTCCGGCGTTGACCGTTGACTTCCGTCGTTGACTTCCGGCGAAAATCGTTGACTTCCGGTGTTGACCGTTGACTTCCGGCGTTGACCGTTGACTTCCGACGTTGACTTTCAACATTGACCTTTGACCCTTAGCATGCATTGTGTATGAAGTAAATATGCATCAGTACTATGCACTTAGTATGAACTA